CCGCCTGCGCCCCGCCCCTCCCCGTTCCCCGCCCCCTGGGCCCGGCCGCGCCAGGACTAGAGTGAGTGTGGCGAGCGGGGGGCTTGGAGATGAATGAGACAATGAGCGGCCGGCTCACGGCCTGACTCCGCTGCCCGCGCGCCCTGGCCGCCTGCTCACCCGGTTGGCTCAGTGACTCATTCATTTACTCAGGCGGCGACAAGGGGGTGCTGAGCCCCGCTGCGCCGGGTCGGGTGTGTGCTCCAGGCAAGAGCTGCTTCTGGGAGAGACTGGCCAGGGTACCCGCGATTAGAGCGCAGTGCGATAAAGCAGGGGCTGTGTGTGGAGGAGTCCGAAAGGGGTTCTGGAGGAGGTGATAACTGAGCCGAGTCTTCAAGGATGACTAATAGTCCGTCCGTTGGGAAGGGGAAGTGCAGCGAGGGCCAAGGAAATTGCAGGTGCAAAGGCGGCTTAGAGAACCACGTGTAGCAGCTGGTGGCAGGGTGGGGGAGCTCATGCTGGCTGCGTGTGGTGGTGAGGCATGGGGCGCGAAGGGACTGGAGAGGGCCACACAGGAGCGTGCGGGCAGTCGGGTAAACTGAGGACAGTGAGGTCCGCTGGAGTCCATATTGCAAGAAGCAGTGGGTGTGAGGTACCGGCTTGGCACATGGACCGGTGCCCTATAAACCTTCACTCTATTAACATGAAGTGCTAATTGATCGGACCGTGGTTGTAAATACCACAGGCTGCTGTGGGAAAATGGATTAACAGGAGGAAGGCAGCGAGGCCAGTTTGGAGGCTGCTGCCTGGTCCGGGAGTGGAACGGTGAGGGGGGAGCAGAGGAAAGGTTTTAGCAGGTGGTGACTCCTGGGAGGAGTGGAGGAAGGGCGGGCCTTTTGATGCCAGGTGGCGGTGCCAGGTGCCTCCCTCCTCTCTACATAGAGGATGTTGACCAAGGAGGGTAGGTCAGGAGGCAGGGTACTCTGTTTTCTGCTGCTGGGCCCCCAGGGAGAGGTGTCTGGCAGGCCAAAGGCCCGTGGTTCTGGAGCTAGAGTTGACTGGGGCCCTGTGAGCAATCAGGTAGAGCCCCTAAGTCGCTCCCATTCCTCCCCAAGCCCCCTCACAACAGTTCCCTTGAGTCTGGAACAGTCCTGGGTGGGGCTGCCTGGGCCCAGACCTAAAATGTGTTTGATAAATATAAATTGAGCACCTGTTCTGTTCCCAGCACTGCACTTGGGGTGAGATAGGCTATGGTTCTTTCCACTGCCACAACCGGCCTTGCGGCTGCCTCAGTGAAAATACACTTATAGCAGTGATCTGGGGGGGGGGGGGGGGGGGGCTCAGAGCACCCATTCCAGGCTGGCGTGGCCCTGGCCCTGGGCTGGGGGGAGCATTTGAGGCTGCCCGTTGACCTCCCCGCTTCTCCAGAGGTCAGACTTGGGGGCACCTGGCCCATACTAGGTAAATGGCACTGGCTGCTCCAGGTTTGCTGGAAACATCTCCCAGGTGGGAGGAGACCCAGAAGCAGCCTTGGAAAATGAGTCCTAGGTTACTCAGAGGCTATGGCTACACCCCAGCCCCTAGGTCCAGGGCCATGCTAGGAGCTCAAAGACCATGGCCCACACTCCCTCGCTGCTACTCCTAAAGTCTACATGTCAATAGCAGCACCACACCAACAGGTGTACTGGGCACTGCAGTCATGCGGTCACTGAGAAAGGTCACACCTATTAGCCCTTACAAATAAGTTTGGAAATCTGCCAGCCCTAAACCGGTCTCACTCCTTCAGGGCAGCCCTGAGTGACTAGTGAGTGCTAGAGTTCCTGGTTCCAATCCCACCCCTCCTTTTACTAGTCCTGAAATCTTAAACAAGACATTCATCTGCCCAGCCTCAGTTTCCCCGTCTGTAGAATGGGAATAACAATACAGACTCATGGCTTGGCTGGGGGCTCAGAACGCAGGATGCCCTTGGTTCTCACACCCTTGGTCCCCTGCCTCTAACATCTCCCCTCTAGCGCTTCCGTCCAGGGAGGCTGGGCAGGCTGGTGGGGCTGGTCTGGGCCGGAGCCGGCCCTCGTGCCCACGCAGCAGTGG